TGTAAAAAAAAAAAAAAAAAAATTCTGAGAGTGAAGCGATTCAGCGATTGTGAACATAATTACTGTGAACATGTCATGTGTGTGCAAATATAAATACACATAAAAACAACAGCCAAGCTTGTTTTTTATAAGGTGCAAGATAAATGGTTAGACATATCTAAATATTGCAAAAGGGTTAAATTATCCTATATTAACCAGGAAAAGTCTGGGAGACTTTCCACCACATGGGGGCGTATGAGGATTACAAATCATTTGAAATTCAGGAAACCGAGACAACAGTGCATTCTCGATTAAAATAACTCTTCAGACAGATTAATACAATATTTAGCCATGAAAAACAGTAATGTTGTTTTTAGAAAACAAAGATTTGTTTCCCCAAATTTGTATTTTTTACATTTTTATGTTTTTATTTTGAATTATTATTATTTTTTTTTTTTTTATTAAAAAGAAAAAAATCTTGACACTGCCGTTTCAATAATAATAACAAAAATGTAAAAGAGTAGGCTACTCCACATAATGCGTTTTCATAGTTACAGTGCATTTTATTTATCATTTTTGTGCTTCAAGTGTTCCCATCAAGGAATAGCAGGCTACCCCCAGAAAAATAAGAAAGGAAAAAAACATATACTATATATAAATATAAAAGGTCGTCTCAACACTTAGCCTATATGGGTGTCTTTCTTCAATAGACCACCAAGGGAAACTAACAAGACACCTGAGAAACAACGCTGGCATTACTAATGCATGGGCGTAGCTTGTGGGGGGGCCAGGGGGGCCTGGCTCCCCCATAGCGATTTAAGAATTTTACTAAATATTTATTTATAAAGTTTTTTCTATGAAGTAAAAATGCATATAATGCAGTTAATAATACATGTAAAAGTGAATACGTAAAAGTTAATACATTTTAAATTGTTATTGTAAGTAAATTAATAAATCAAAACAAACTTAACGTCTCCCTCAATCTCATTTGCGTAAGAATTGTCACGTGACGAATCTGCATTTTGGTGGATAATAGACTTAACGGTAATGCTTGCCTGTTGTGTGGAATAAAATGATGTTCCGCGTTTTTAACAACATACACGAACTGCAGAGAAATCTGGAGACAACGAAAAACTCAGATGAAGATATTAGGACGCAGCCGGTTTAGCCGCACACTACTTTTATGCCGACCATTTACATCCAAATGTTATTTAATTTTCACAGAACACAACCTTTAAATAGATTTTAGAATATAAACTGTCTATTCAATAAGACTAAATAAAAAGTGTGCGCCTCATTGTGCATTAACTTGAATCAAGCCCTACAAATGTCTGTTTTAAAAACAGTGGATGAGTAATTCACTCCTTGATCTGCTTAATAAAAGCCTCCTTTGAGATCGTTTTGACAAACATGTTTATTGTGCATTTTAAACGTGTTTATTGCTAAGTTTAGTGTGGCAAAATAGAAGCGCAGCTGTAATTCGTGGGCAATGTATGTAGTTACCATGACAACCTCACGCACTTGCCACTGCTCTATGTGAATATGTAGATTTACTCTTCCACCGGTTCGGTTTGGCCCCCCCAAACTCAAACGTCAAGCTAGGCCTATGTAATGTCAAATCTGGCATGACACGTGAGACGCCATGTTTGAATATTTGTTAAACTTAAAATATGCGCATATTCAAATAATGATTAAAATAGAACAAATTAGATTCCACCAGCACAGGACATACAGTATGAAGTACTTCTATGATTCTTTAAGATCGTCGTTCGGGGAGGTTTGGAACAACACGAGGGTGAGTAGGCTACATGATACAATTGATATGTTTGGATCTCCCCTTTAATTCTTTGCTGAAATTAATAAAACTAACAATTCCTAATATGCGTCTACCCACACACCATTAGCTAAACAATACTTTAATATATCCTAACAAGAAAAAAACATAGTTACATTATTTACAAAGGTTACTTAACACATTCATTTTAACCAATAAAGAATGAGAATGTGACGTAACACCGCGTTGAGTTCTGGGAAACTGCTTTGTTTATCCGCCATACTTGCAGGATAGCGCGCGCTGCCTTTACGCTATTGAGTTTAGGGCAGTATTTGATTGTTTGTCGTGATTGTGAAAAATGTCACCAGTGTATGTCACACTGCATCGATAATTGCAATAGTAACTTAGATCATCGTTCTGAGAGAAAACTGGACAATGCAATATGTTTTTTTTTGCCTTTTCTATGTGTAAAAACACCAAGGGAAGGAGGTCGCGGAGAAGACGCTGAATAGTAAATCTGTTAGTCACTGATTAAACCCACTGACTCTCACTCAATAAAAGAATCACATTGCTGTGTGTTTTTGAAAGTTTTGATTTGGTTGGTTTAATAGTTAACATTACCTTCTTTGCAAGCATGACCCTCACTCTCACTAGGCTTGTGGATTAGCAGAACTTGAACAGGGGACAACACACTCTTTTATTTGGATAATGTACCATATGATTACTGAAGCAGCAGCGAGCGTCCAGCTGCGTCCAGCTGAGCGTCCAGCTGAGCGTCCAGCGACACTGTTTTCACGCTAATCGGGTAAACACTGTAAACCAAATTCTACAAAACCTAAGAGAGAAATGCAGTGCATATCATGCAGTGCGATAAAATAGCTTCTCTTCCCTGCAAACGATACAATGAAAAATGAATGGTTGTTTAACTTAAAGGCAAAAACAAAACAAAAGATAAGCATTTATCCTTATAGAGAATGAGAAGTAACCATGGAAACGAATAGCGTATCAGTTGGCTAAATCAAGTTTAAAACTCTTTAAAAAAATGACTCTTTTAAAAAGTAATTTAATCTTACTTTTAAAGACGAAGTAGAATCAAAAACCAGACTGGAGCACTTGAATGAGCTGTGAAGCTGCAACAGCACACACACACACACACACAGTATCTTAGTATTTTTTCATTTCATATAAATTATCTGAAACAACATTACAAGAGGTGAGGAATATATTTGTCAAAATATATACAAAAATAGATTGAGATAATATTCCAGAACCAAAATTAAATGAAAAATATAGCATAATATCGCCTGCAGTTATTCCTGAAGAGGGGTGAAAATTTACCTAAAGTTAAATATACGCTCAGGACTAAGTATACCGCGTCTCACAAAAAGAAGGAGATCCCGTCTAAACAGGCCTGATATTACTCAGATCTACGATAATGCTAATGTGCTGAAGAGATAACGTTCCACAACGCAATTTCACAATTAAAAACAGCCTCCGTAATGAGTCCGCTAGTTTATTTCATATGTACTAAAACAACACTACGAGGAGAGGTGGGGAATATATTTGTCGAAATATAAATGAAAATAGACTTGAACTAATATTCTAGAACCAAATTTAAATGAAAAAAAAAAGTGTATTCTCGCCTGCAGTTATTCCTGAAGAGGGGTGAAAACCCAGACGGCAACATAGTGTTGGCCCATGTGAAATCCATGCGGGCCAGATGTGGGCCGGATCTGGGCCGAAACGGTCTGCTGTCTGGGAAATTACCTAACGTTACATATACGATTAAAATCCGGATAGCCACTAAACTAAGTTACCCGTCTCACAGAAAGGAGGGAGATCCCATCCAAATAGGCCTATTATTAACGTACTCAAATCTATGATAAATGCTAAAGAGCTAACCTTAACTGGACATTCCACAACGCAATTTCAAAAATTAAAAACTAACGTACAACAAAGCAATTAACAACTTTATTAACGTTAATGTTACTGGCAACTGTACAAATAAAGCATATTTTAAAAGTATTCTTACCGAGTTCAGTCTTCTTCAACCTGGCCGGCCGCAGCTTCTTCACTCTGAGGAGGATTTCTGAGACAGCACCGGTTAAAAAAAAAAACGCTCCGGATCGCTAATCCGCGCAGTGTCCATAATGAGTCCGCTAACTGACAGCGCGCTGTCCGGAGGCGGGGCATATTCTGGGCGAATGACCGAACAGAGTCTGACAGTACAGCGGAGCATATGACCCCTTTAACCACT